GCAACTTCACAGGATGGCAGAGTGACGTGGCGAGTTTGACACCCATGATCTATCCATTCCATTTTACTGCAGAGGGAAAGCTGATCATGTTTAACTTAGCCCTTGTTAAATGACAAGTTTTTAACTGCACCCTTAAGACAGGCGGCAGCTGCAACTACACAATTCTTTTATTTTGAAATCCAATTTCCTGAGCAGCGCAAACATCCCAGTTCTCCTACCACCCAGGACATTCGATTCCTTACAGCAAGCATTGCAAGCAAACCAGTTGCAGGAAACTACTGGGCACGGCAGAAAAGAAAAGGGCGCCAGTGTTCATCCTACAACAAATTCCTGCTCACAAATCCTCAGTAAACTATTCCAAACTAATTTTTCCTCCTACGTTAACTGGAACTTGTTGAATGTAGCTCCAAGGGCTAGGATTGTCTCCGTGTGTAAATGTTAAAGATGTGATGTCATGATGCTAGTTATAGAAGACGGAGACTTTACTCCTTCGCAACCAATAGTCCCCTTTTGATATAATCACTTAGAAGGAAGGTAGAACAGGAGTGACCTCAACTGGTAACTTTAAAAAACACCAATTGCAAACTGTTCGTAGTCAAATTGGTTCCAAGCCATTTTTAATTGTGGTCTGGAACCAGGCAGTGGATAAGGCCTGGAGGTTATTAAAACATATGAAGAACAGTTGCAGGAATTGGGTTATGGCCAGTCTAGAGAAAAGAAGGACTCCAAGTGAGATGATAGCAGAGCTCCAGTATTTGAGGGGCTGCCACTAAGAAGAGGGGGTCAACTTATTCTCCAAGGCAAATAAAGGTAAGACAAGAAGCAATGGATGGAAACTCATCAAGGAGAGAAGCAACCTGGAATTAAGGAGAAATTTCCTAACAGCGAGGACAATTAACCAGTGGAATGGCTTGCCTTCAGAAGTTGTGATGTGCTCCATCACTGGAGGATTTTAAGAAGAGACTGGACAATCACTTGTCTGAAATGGTATAGGGCTGTGATGGCAAACCTGTGGCACGGAGAGCCATTTGTGCTGGCACGCGAGCTGCAGGTAAACTTACCTCACTGCGCATGCCCACGTCTCACAGCTGATTTTTTTTTTCTGATTGGTTTGAGGCCTTTTTTGGTCTCCTAGAGGCTTGGAAAAAGCCTCTGCAAGGCTTTTCAGGAAAAATTATAGGCCCGTTTTGTCACTTTCTGTCGGAAGTGACGAAATGGGCCTATAATTTGGCCTGAGAAGCCTTGCAGAGGCTTTTTCCAAGCCTCTAGGAGGTCGAAAAAGGCCTCGAACAAGCCGAAAAATCAGCTGTGAGGCGCAGTGCAGCTAAGGGGGTGAGGATTGCGCAGGCATGCACAGGGGACGTGGGGAAGGGGACAGGCATTGCATTCTGGCTGCTGGCACGCGAGTACGGACATGCTGGCGCACTCGCAATTTTTGCCACAGGAACCCAAAAAGGTTAGCCACCACTGGTATAGGGTCTCCTGCTTGAGCAGGGGGGCTGGACTAGAAGACCTCCAAAGTCCCCCCCAGCTCTATTCTGATTGAAATTGATGATGGGATTCGAGGAAGATGAAAACTAGATTTCCAACAAATAATTGGGATGTCATGTGGGTTCGATTGTGGTTTTAAGAATGAAGTCAGAACAGTTTTGAATAGGTCAAGAAACATATTAAGAACCAGCCCTGAATCAAAAACATTATCTCTCTATAATTATAATGGAGTCCAAGGAAATATCTTCTTAACTCTATTCCACAATGGGGGTATTTATTGCAGGAATTGAGCTCACTGAAATCCAGTGAAAATTAAAAGTATACCTTATTGTTATAGTATATATGTTACATATATAAAAAATATCTATATGTGTTAGATATACACACACACACACATTATATATTATATCCTATAACAACTATACTATTATGTATGTGTGTGTGTGTATGAATATTGTGGTATATAACTACAGTATATTGTTACCATACTGTCATTATGCAGACTTACCTTTAAAGAGGGTAACGAAATAATGTACATTTTACACAGAATTCCAGGAATATCCTACAAATGTGGGAATAACAAGTGTTAACTTTTCAGAAAAAAAATACATCAACGGAACAGACTTATTTCATTAAGCTGAAGAACATCTGGCCTTCAAAAGAAAATGACTTCACCTTCTAAACCTCCATTTCAGAGAAGCATGTTTTGTAAAGAAAAAATCAATCAAAATATTTCAATTGCACACACACACACACACACACACACGGACACGGACACTGTTTTTTTTTTTTTTTTACAGATACTGGGATTATCCTACCATGGTTATGACCATAAAAAGTCATATGGCGAAGATTTGCGATGAGCAAGGAGAACGTCTTAGGGGCTCATTCTTAAATGAGCCATTCTGATCTCCTTCTTATGTTCCATAAGCCATTCTTATGAGCCGTTCTTATGCCATTCTCCTGTTCTTCTTGTTGTTGGCTCCTTCTTAAATTCTGTGATTATTGGAATTGTAGGGACCTTGGAGGTCTTCTAGTCCAACCTTCAGAAGAACTTATTCCATCCTAGACAAATTGTCCGATCTTTTCTTAAAAACCCTCCGATGATAGAGAGCCAACTTCTGGAAGCAAGCTCTTCCATGGATGAATTGTTCTGTCGGGAATTTTCTCCTCAATTCCAGGAGGAACCCAGATTTTATCTCTTAATTTAATGATAGCAAGACTTCTCTCAGTTCAGATTAGAATGTCTCTTACCTTCTTATTCCAGTTTGACAGTGACGTGTACGGTAAAAGCTTATCCAGGTGGCTGGATTCCAGGCACATTTTCCAATGTAAAGAAGCTAAGAACATCAAGACAAAAAATAGGCTCGTGACAGCATCAAGTAAAATACTGCACACCACTGTGAAAATTAACAATACTCTGCAACGTAGCTCTATTTGCAAGGGAATTCAATGGAGGTCACCATCCTTAAATGGGATTTCGGATTTCGGTGTTATTGTAAGAGAGGTTACTAAGCCTAAACACAGGTAGTCCTTGATTTACAACCACAAGTGAGCCTAAAATTTGTTGTTAAGTGAGACATTTCCTAAGGGGGTTTTGCCTCATTTTACAACCTTTCCTGTCACGTTTGTTAAATGAATCACTGCAGTTGATCACCTGGTTGTTAAGTAAATCTGGCTTCTCCATTGACTCTGCTTGTCAGAAAGTCGCAAAAGGGGATCATATAACTCCTGGTCACTGCAACGGTCGTAAATATGAGTCCGTTGCCAAGCCATCTGAATTTTGGGAGGATGCTGAAAATGTCGTAAGTGTGAAAAACGGCCCCAAGTCACATTTTTTCAGTGTCGTCATAACTTTGGATGGTCACTGAATGAACTGTTGTACCTCAAGGACTGCTTGTATATTTACTCTCTCTTGCTGCTCTGTCTTAATTTACCTCTCCGTTAACGTTTAGTGAAACTACTGCATACTCTGAAAATACATTGTGAAGGATGGATGCTCCTAATGGCTGCACCCTTGTAGGAAGGCCTCACGCATCAAAACACTTACCAATGATTAGCTCTTGTATAGGATCAAATGCAAAACAACTCGACGCGTTATCGGAAAGCCACTGGATGATCTGTTAAAAAGAGAAAACCAAATTTACCCTGTTTCCCCAAAAAATACGACCTACCCTGAAAGTAAGTCCTAGCTTGATTTTTGTATGTGTGCCCAATATAAGCCCTACCCCGCAAATAAGCGCTAATTAAGATCCCGCCCACTCCAGAGTGCAGAGGTATAAATTAAGCTAGGGTGGGGATGGGAGGATGGAGCTGCCCTACTACTTACCTTTGGACAGCTGTAGCCAGGACTCGCACACCCCAACACCTGACTCACCGGCCCATTTCTTCTTCAGCCGGCAAGGTTGGCAAGGCTTTCCTGAAGGCCTCTGTAGCTGATAGCAAAGCTCTGGATCGATCCAAAGCTCTGTTACTGGCTGCAGAGGCCTTCAAGAAAGACTTGTTGGCCACAGAAGAAGAAATTCCTGAAGGCTCTGACAGTGAAAAGCAGGCCAGGGGTGACGTGCGCAAGTGAGGTTAGTCAGTGGATGACATCCCCCGAAAACAAGACCTGGTGCCTTTTTTGGTGGCAAAACAAATATAAGATAAGGTCTTATTTTCAGGGAAACAGGGTATTATCACCTGCAAACTGCCATCACACCTTGGAAAAGGAAGTTGAATTCCCCGTGATGTGTTGTCTCAGTTTAATAAGGACTACATCACCTACTACTGCTACTAATCAATTGAAAAAAATTTAAAAATTCATTTACAAAACTACCATGGACAGTTAGTCCTCAACTTAGGACAGCCACTGGGCCTGGAATTACAGTCATTAAGTCGTGTCGATTATTAAGTAAATCACCATGTGACTGTGCCCAATTTTATGACTTCCTTTGCAGCAGTCATTAAGTGAATTACCAGCAATAAGGTAATAAGGTAAAAAAAGGTAATAAATGGAATTTATTGTCCATAATGGGTGGATTTTTTGATTTTTTTGTCAGGAACTGGAAATAAATGCCATTTTTTGTAAAAAAAAAATGGTTGTCCAGTCAATTGCTTATGAGATACTGCAAATACAGAATACAGAATAACAGAGTTGGAAGGGACCTCGGAGGTCTTCTAGTCCAACCCCCTGCTCAAGCAGGAGACCTTATATCATTCCAGAGAACTGGCTGTCCAGTCTCTTCTTAAAACCTTCCAGTGTTGGAGCATTTACAACTTCTGAAGGCCAAGCTGTTCCACTAATAAATTGTTCTGTCAGGAAGTTTCTCCTTAATTCTAGGTTGCTTCTCTCCTTGATTAGTTTCCACGCATTGCTTCTTCAGGTGCTTTGGAGAATGGCTTGACTCCCTCTTCTTTGGGGTAGCCCCTGAGATAGTGGAACACTGCTATCATGGCACCCCTAGGATTGGGCTGAGAGAGAGAGAGAGAGACTGGCCCAAAATCACTCAGCCGACTTTTTATGGCTAAAGTGGGATTTGAACTCATGGTTCAACAGACTTGAGAGTCAAACAGGCTCTCAAGTCTGTTGTAATGTCGAACACTAAGCAATCAGACATAATTCAAGGACTACCTGTAGCAATTGGGAGTGCCTAGCTTTGAGAACCTATTGTGGCTCCTTTAAGAATTTTCAAGGGCTTTGTGCATCTAATGGGATGGATTGTGGTGTGTTTGAATGCTATCATTAGCTAGGATTTGCATCAAACAATGTATGGGGTGGCTTTAGATTCCTGAATAAGTTTTGTCTTTTTATCATCCGCATTCAGATGATAACCACCACCACAGATAAGTTGTGGTGGCATAGTGGTTTAGACTGCAGTATTGCAGGCTAACTCTGCCCAGTGCCAGGAATTCGATCCCGCTCAAGGTTGACTCAGCCTTCCGAGGTTGGTAAAATGAGGACCCAGACTGTTGGGGGCAAGAGGCTGACTCTATAAATCGCTTAGAGAGGGCTGCAAAGCACCGTGAAGCGGTATATAAGTCTAAGTGCTATTGCTATTCAGTCTGGAGCTGAGCTCACCTTCTGATATACCAAATTAACTGAAGATATATTGCAATATGTGGTAATTGGCAACTGACTAGATTTTTTAAAAAAGTGAGTCCAAAGATTTTTCTATTTTATACACAAAGATAAGCAGACAACAATTTCCATCAGACAGACAGGAGGAACTGTAGACGCCCTCACACACCTGGTTTTCCAATTCCTCCGTGCTTCCAACATGTAGTAGAAGACAGTGCAAAGCTGCTAACTGGTCGTTATCTGACTTGCTCTTCCACAAAAATTGTAGCAAAGCCTTTGGGCTCATTTCCACAGTAAATATTTTTCCCGTGCTGCGATCCAAGACACTTGATTTGGCTGGGGAAAAGACGGTGTCAGTGTTCAGTGGATTAATTTTTGCATCTTCGCCTGAAGAAAACAAAATTGGATAGAAGGATTTTTACGGAGGGTGCAGGGAAATCTCTAAGATCTCTTCCAATCCTACGATTTATTCAATGTTCTAGATCAGAGAACGGCAACCTGGGCTCTGGAGCTGCATGTGGCCCTTTCATCCCTCTGCCATAGCTCCCTGTGGCTCAAAATATGCATCACAACTGCCAATGTGCGACACCCACCGGCACACAACTTATTGTGCTTTTCAAACTCCCACCCCACCCCGGTGGGCCAACTAGGGATAAATCCAAGGAAAGTACAGTTTCCAAAGAAAAGAGAACGTTTAATGGTACGTGGGCAGATTCATTTGCTTTCGCTGCTGACGAGACCGGTTTACCAATCTGCTTAATATGTGGCGAGACTTTGGCAAACAACAAAAAGTCGAATGTTGCAAGACATTTCCACAATAAACACTCACCCTTTGCTGAAAAATATCCAGATGAGAAATGGAAGAAAAAAAAAAGGCATTTTGGAATGATGCAGAAGTTCATTGATTTCATAAATGCAACACACTATAGGGTTTTTTTATACATAACATAAAGGTAAAAGAAAAATGATATATGCAGTGTTATCTTCATTTTATATGTCAAAAGGATTTTGTGGCTCCCACTGTTTTCTTTTCTGTGGGAAACGGGTTCAATGGCTCTTTGAGTGTTTAAGGTAGCCAACACCCGTTCTAGATTGTAAATTATGCACCGCCTGTGGTCCGATCTAAGCTTAGTACACAAAATTGTCTGCTACAACATCCTACCTGTCAACGACTTCTTCAGCTTCAACCACAATAATACACGGGCAAACAATACATACAAACTCAAAGTAAACCACTCCAAACTCGATTGCAGAAAACACGACTTCAGCACAGAGTGGTCAACGCCTGGGACTCACTACCTGACTCCGTTGTTACAGCCTCAACCCCTCACAGCTTCAACCTCAAACTGTCTACCGCGGACCTCACCCCATTCCTAAGAGGTCCTTAAAGGGGGTGTGCATAAGCGCACCAGCGCGCCTACCGTCCCTGTCCTACTGTCCCCATTGATCTGTATTTACTCCCTTTGTTCTTGTTTATGTTCATACATACACCTGCTATCTTGTACATGTCTGACAAACACATAAATAAAATACAGACATTTCCTTCTCCTAGGAACATTTCTTTTTTAAATAAAAATACCTGACAGAAAGAAACTGTGGCAGGTGAGGTCAGTATGTTGGGTGTCCAGAAGATGCAGGAATTGTCCAGGTAAGTACACAGCCAGGTAAGAGCCTGTTTTGGGGATGAAGGTTGTTTTTTTAAAAAACATAATAAATCAAAATAAAATAGCACAGAACTGAACTGTACACACTAGGTGCATTATTCAACATTGCGGTATTACTATGTCATTAATTCTAGAATACAGGTAATCCTCGATTTACGACAGTTCATTGAGTGACCGTTTGATGTAAGAACAGTGCTGAACAAAGTGACTTATGACTCGTTTTCACACTTACAAGCGTTGTAGCAACCTCCCATGGTTACGTGACCAAAATTCAGCCGCTTGGCAACTGACTCACATTTATGATGGTTGAAGGTCCCCTTTTGCGACTGTCTAACAAGCAAAATCAACGGGGAAGCCAGATTTGCTTGAGAACCATGTGACTAAGTGAACAACTGCAGGGATTCACTTCATGCCTGTGGCAAAAAAAGTTCGTAAAACAGGGCAAGGCTCACTCAACCAATGTCTCATTTAGCAACAAAAATTTGGGACTCAATTGTAGTCATATGTGGAAGACTACCTGTAATATTTACAGACACCTCACGTTCCTGGACATAAACTGTTTCAACTCCTTCCCTCAATATGACGCTATAGAGCCCTGCACACCAGAACAACTAGACACAAGGGGAGTTTTTTCCTGAATGCCATCACTCTGCTAAACAAATAATTCCCTCAACACTGTCCAAAGTCTACACTACTATTATTATTAATCTTCCCATCACTACTTATCACCCATCCCCTCCCACTTGTGACTTTATGATGGTTACTTCGTCACTTGTATCCTTACAATTTATATGGATTGTTTCCTAGTATGATTTGATTGCTTATTGTACCCTATGACTATTATTAAGTATTGTACCTGATGATTCTTGACTCTTGACAAATGTATCTTTTCTTTTATGTACACTGAGAGCATTTGCATCAAAGACAAATTCCTTGTGTGTCCAATCATACTTGGCCAATAAAGAATTCTATTCTATTCTATTCTATTCTATTCTATTCTATTCTATTCTATTCTATTCTATTC